CAGGAGAACTACAATTAGCAAGAGCTACAATCATTTAACTCTAATTCGTCGGCAAATTTTACTACAAAACACCAAGACCTGTGTAATTTGTTTATACACATCGAAAAAGCGTGTCATGTCTAAAAGACATCCTAGAAAACCTGGTAATTTGCTAGACGACACTTTCGACTCAATTGGATAGTTAGATTTTTAAGAAATACAAGATGCCCCTGTGACCACGAGTTTCAAACATGACATTAGAGTAAAAATTTAGAAATTATACAACTCTAAATTTGCAATCACCCCAAGTACATTATTAGCATACATCATATTCCTTCTTCACTCTAGCCTCAGATCAAAAACTTTTGACCCTAGGGATACTTTTTTATAAGAATTTATCTTTCCAATTGAACCGAAAGTATTCTCCAGCAAATTACCAGTATTTTTAGTGTCTTTTAGTCGTGACACTTTTTATTATGTCTATCAATAAATTACATGAACTTTGAGAGTGTTGTAGTAATTTTTTCCTAATTCGTATGGCATGGCCTAATAAAAAAAGCTCATTAAGCACATAAAGCTCAACATGCAAGCATATAGTATTTATATCTATAATTTATTTCATTCTAAAACCAAACATACACATGCTAAATAATCATTCTCAAATCATTTTCATAATATTTCGATCCAAATCATTTCATCGTTTCTCCAATATATAACAAATATCCCACAACAAAGTGTGGGGCATCATCTTTTGTGAGACATAGCAGACCATACATGGCTTTGGTCTGGACAACTGTCGGTGAACAACTTTGAAGAGCTGCAATGCCGACCAATGGACCAAAGAGAGGCCACAGCTACACATAGTAGTGTACAACGAGGGATTTGCATACTTTGTCGCTCCACGAAATAGATTTTGATTATTTATCATACTTATCCACATCTTTGACGCGCTTCAACATGGGGCCACTGCTACAAAATCCTAATGGGTGTCAGTTGGAAACCCACATAAGTGTCGAATTCTTCAACCAGCATCTCGCAAGCAGCACTGATGATGAGGAACCAAATGTGTGGTTTAAAAACGACACCTTTATGGTTCCACTAATAAAAAACCAACTCGATACGTCGGCTCAATTAGCTCCTCATCACCCCTGAGATCCATCAACAACCAAGAACACAGAATCAACATTCAAGAACAAAATCAATGTCCACATATCAACAATAAAAATCCAAGAACATAGAGAGGAGGCTATCGAAGGAGAGAAGGCCACTGCCGCCGCTGCTCACCATGGGCTAAGTCCGTTGTTGAGCGTCGCGTGAGGAGAGGGCATCATCGCTTGTCGAGGGACCCACCTCCGTCATCTAGCAGGTCACCCTCGATCCGTCGTGCCAAGGTTAGTTGGCAAGCTAGATGGCGGTAGCTCGCCATCGCGCCAGCTACATCGGAGATAAGAAGCGATAGGGACAGTGGAGACGAGGGATGGCTGCTGCGGAGGAGGTGAGGAGTGATGGAGAGGAGGAAGGAGGACGAGTACAGCGGAGTTGAGGGGTGGTGGCAGCAGCAGAGATGAGGGGCCGCGATGGTGAGCAAGAGAGGGAGCGCGGAGAAGCTGATAGAGGTGAGCAAGAGAGATAGGCTGGACTTTAGACGCGAGGTCATCCATATATAAAAATTAACCGGGCCGGCTCGATCGATTGTCAACTGACTAACTGAAGAGAGTGTCGGTTTTTTTGTAGAACTGACATCTATTACCCTCTCATAAGTGCTAGTTTATTAAAAAGAATAGCACATATTATTGTGGTGTCAATATTTTTAATAAACCAACACATATAAGGGGTTATATATGTTGGTTTTTATTTGTAGACCCATATCAGATGTTGGAAAGGTGAGAAAAATCTTATATATGCCCATTTTTTATGTACATATGAGGGCGTCAGTTTCGGTCTTCCAACACCTCTATGTGCTTTTCTCGCCATATGAGGCTTGCTCATTCACGTCTTACTCTTTCATTCGCGGATAGTGGGGAACCGATCTGGTAGTGTCTCTCATCTTGTCTCACAGCAACAGTGGACGTGTTCGTCCGACGGCTAGCGTGTTCATCCGATGCATGCTAGGTGTTTCCCGCTAGGTTGCCGTTGGTTGTTCCTTGCGTTCTGCGGCTATATTTGGGCGAGTGACTGATTTACAATTCAGTTTTTCTCTTGCGCTTTGAGAAGCGGCTACATTTGGACGAGTGACTGATTTACAATTCAGTTTTTCTCTTGCGCTTTGAGAAACGTCTAGGGGTTTTTCGGCTAGCTTCATAACATGGTGAGCTAGCCGGCTTGAGTTTAAGGTTTCACCCCTTTAATTTATTTGTTATCAGGTCTCCCCTAGTGTTCGCGTTTTGCATTCGCGAAAAAGCGTTCTCTGACGCTTTCTTCCGTTTTGGCTCAAAGTCAGTTGCCAACGGTTATGTGCGTAAGTTTTGATTAGCAAAAAGATCGTCCATTAGTTTCGGGGAGTCTGTTTTTGGTTTGAGGACAAAGACTACATGCAACATGTAGGCAGCTGCTCAAAATCAATGGTTATGCAGATTTTTTTGCCAAACATGAATAAGATATAGTCTCGATCTAAAGTTCTAAACTCCTACTAATTACCATTACCTTTACTAATATTAGCATCAATTCCCTTATATAAACTCCCAATCATTTTTTCCTCAAGTTACCAAACAAACCATATGGATTTCCATTAATACGGTCACATTTGCCAAGCTCCTAAATATTATATTTTTTTTAAAAAAAATTCTCTTAACATGCTATAAGAACTTTTTAATCCACTTAATAACTCTCTAATATTTAATTTGTGGTTTTGTCTTAAATACTCCCTCCGTTTCACAATATAAGACTTTCTAGCATTACCTATATTCATATAGATGCTAATGAATCTAGACATTATTATATATATAGATTCATTAGCATCTATATGAATGTGGACAATGCTAAAAAGTTTTACATTGTGAAACAGAGGAAATAATTACTATATTTTCATCCATCATCTATTGAAAATGCAGAGTGACACATCGATTATTTTTGGTACCACATATCCCCTCCACAGCTGTACCCAGAGCCCAAAGCCGCTTTCAACGCCTCTGCTTTCGTCCAGATGTAGGACGCATTAGGGCATTTACAATGGGTCACCACATTTTGCCGTTCTTCCCATGCCACATAGACTAGGAACAGTATAAGCCATATGCTCCACAATGCAAGTTACAGCTCCACAATACAAGCTACACGTAGTAGTGGGTCCCAGCACTCTCTCTCTCCCTTTTACTTTGTGCTACTGCCTTTTAACTTTTCCATCGGAGGAAGCGAGGAGGGTGGCGTCGAGCGTCTCCCGGCGACTGGCGGGGCCGAGCGAGACACGGCGCCAGCCGGAGCGGCGGCGCGGCGGACTCCTCAACGGAGCCGAGCGGACCGGCGGCAGCGCAGCGCTGCCTCTGCTGCTCCTCCAACCGGCGGGGGCGAGCGGGAGACGGCGCCAGCCGGGGCGCGGCGGACTCCCCGACGGAGCCGACCGGCGGGGGCGAGCGGGAGACGGCGCCAGCTGGAATGGCGGCGCGGCGGACTCTTCGACGGAGCCGAGCGGACCGGCGGCGGCGCGGCGCTGCCTCTGCTGCTCCTCTAACCGGCGGGGGCGAGCGGGAAACGGCGCTAGCAGGGGCGCGGCGGACTCCTCGACGGAGCCGAGCGGACCAGCGGCGGCGCGGCGCTGCCTCTGCTGCTCCTTCGACCGGCGGCCCGAGCGACACCGGCGAACGACGCGGCGAAGCTCGGCGGCTGCGCGGCGCCGCCTCTCCTCCACTGACCGGGTAGAGCGGCCCACGCAGCGACGGACGAGTCGGCGGCGCGGCTCAGGAGGCGTCGGCCGGCAAGGGCGCCGCCGCTTCACCGCTTCACCGCTGTCGACCAAATCCACGCCGGCGCTCCCCTTCCCGTCCCTCTCCGGGGCCCCTCATCTCCCAGCCGACGATGAGCATCGAGGGCACGGAGAGCCGGCGGCGGCGCGGGAGCTCGGTCGGCACGGCATCCTCCCAAGCGGCAAGCGGCGTCCGGCCTCCGCGCCGCCCCCTTCCTCCTTCAGCCTTCGCGCGCTCAAGGAAATCGGCGCGACCTTGGTAGGCGGCAGGATCCGGCGAGGAGTGGCTGCGCGTCGGCAGGCGTCGGCGTCGGTCAGCGCCATCCTCCCCTGCCGCTCGGCTGCCTCGTCCCTCTCCCCTCTCCCCTCTCTCATCTAGCGGCGGTGTGGGTCCCACCTGTGGGCCCGCTGAGACGAAGAACGCGTAGCCAAAGTTGAATAATGTAAGTAATTCTAGCATTTTTCACATTCATATTGATGCTAATGAATCTAGACATATATATTTATCTAGACATATATTTATCTAGATTCATTAGCATCAATATGAATATGAAAAATGATAGAATGACTTATTGTGAAATGGAGGAAGTAGTAAATTACTAGTATGAGGGAAAAAAAGCACAACAAAAATCTTGCAGCACGAAATGTAGGCATAATCAGCCCAGCCACATTGTTGGTCGCCCATCCTGCATCACCTGGATCCAGCTTGCTGCGTGTTGGGAGTCTTGGACCACCTTAGGTGGTAATGCAAAAGCATGGTAGCCTGGGAAGCCCTGGGTGGCACTAAAAACTGGAAATAGAAATACCTCCAAAGGCAGTTCATTTCGAAGTCAAAGAGAAGTTTACAATTTTCCATGGAGACAAATTAAATAATTTAGAAGCACCGACAGAATACATGATGGTCGGTCATGATTTGAAAGCATGTAAGAAATGTAAGGGCATCAGCAATGTAAGCCACTCCTAGAGTGCCCTCACTAAGCGAGGGCACTTCTAGGAAAACTCATCTCGCAATAGAGGCCACAGGTAGGTGGGTTCTTCAAAATCCAAAGCTACTCGGTGAGGATACTCCAGTTCACAATGGGTATCCCGGTCTCAAGTAGTCCCAGGTGACAAATTCCCTCCCTAGCCCACCACCGACGCCCTCGTTGACATGAAGTTTTATTCAAGAGGCTCCATATTTTCATTGTGTTTGTGTAGCTTTTAGTTTGGGGGCATTTATTCTTTGGTTTGGCCCTAGAAACCAAAACCAATAACTCTTCTCAAAAGAACCACTAGTAGCTCACACAAACTAGTACAGGGGGAATTTATTCATCGTACTAGTCTAGTAGCTCTCTCTCTCACACACACAGAGAAATAGAGCTAGCTTGCTCGCTCTCTCTCTTTTCACCTTGAGATAAACAATGCCGTTCATGCCCGAGCAGAGCTGCTCCTCCTCCTCGCCATGCCGCTACATCCGGGGAGGACGCGCACGGCACGCCCAGCCTCCATGCCGTCGAGCAGAGCTGCTCCTCCTCCTCCTCGTCATCCCCGGCCACCGCCTCAAGCCGCCGTCTCTTCCTCTCCTCTTCCCGTCTCCTCCGCTGGCGTCAACCTCGAGTTCCTCGTCGTCAACGCGGCCACCGCGGGGGAGTAGGAGCTCCGGGCCGTCGCCGTCTCCCACACCGACGCTGAGGACGGCTGCGCCCCCGAGTGGCGCACGGTGGCGTCCCTCCTCCCATGCCGCATCGAGGAGGAGAAGGTGGCAGCGCCGGCGGTGGCCGCATCGAGGACGCCGCCCAGTCGAGCTCGAGGCCAGATCTGGAGTGCTCGAGGTCATCGCGACCTCCACAACGCACGGCAAGGGCGACGACGGCAAACACAACAGCGGTGGCGGCATCGACGGCGCGCGGAGCGAGGAGGACGCGGCGGAGCGAGATCCGCCGCTGTCGGCCATGGTCGCCGTCGTCGCGGGGTCGTCTCCGTCGCAGGGTTGTCGTCGTCGCTGTTGAGGGTGGAAGAGGAAATTTGTGGTGCGGAGCTGTGTCCACGAGACACACGTCTAGCCACCGCGCGTCCAACGCGTAGCCTGGCGCCGTGGCTCAGCCAAAAGCGACTGAGGAACGCATCCCCCCGCGAGCAAACGCGCGCCTACGCGGGGGGACGGCTCAGGCCGAAAAGCAAACGGTACGGCGACGCCGTGAGCTAGGGGAACGGCTCCAAGACACCCATTGCTTATGCTCTAAGGCTAGTTTCACTGTTCCCGCGACAGAAAAAAAGATGTTTGGACAAAGATGGCTTCATAAACAGAATCAGATAATTTCTTCCAAATCACGAGTAACAATACGGCATTCGGCATATTTTATTCATAAATCTGGAGCACGACAAACGGAAATAGAAACTAAGTAGCTTCAATATTCAAGAATGAGCATGTCTGATTGCATGACAATCTGCAGGAAATTTATTCCACAAAACAACAAAGACAGCGCATCAACCGATCAACTAATATTTTCTTCATTTGATATCATCATAGCATGATATTTATTACTATTATCATCGTGCAATATTAGTCTCTAATGTCATGAGGAAATTTGCCAATCATAGTCACCTTGAACTTTGACTATATTATGACATTTTCAAAATCAATGTTCTTTTAGGAGATTTTGCTACAGGCTTACAGTAGAGCACTACCATAACACAAACACGCCAAAAACATGAACCATGCAAAATGCTGTCAATGAACAGCAACTGGAGATGATAAGAAGCTTACAAATCTAGTTGAACTCACCAGGTAAGCAGGGAGCAAGTTGTGAACATGATGGGATGTCTGACACAAGGATTGAAGATTTCTTGGAAGACAAATGTCAGTGTAATCACAAGCTAATTCAAAATTGTATGTTTTCAGCAGATCAGAGTAGTTTCATGACCTTCCCATAAATACAAGTACAATCTCCAAATCTATGACGATAACTCCATCCACGAGCTTGCTTCTAATAATGATGCCACTGCAGCTTCAAGCTGACAACTCCATGAGGTTGCTACCAAGAACGGCTCTGATGCTGCTTCAAGCTCATGCAACGGGAGCATGTGCATCTATAAGGCTAGTATGTTTCTCTCATTGTCCCAATAATTTTGTCTGCGTAACTATTTTCTCACTTTATCTGTTTGGTAAAATTTTCTCATGGTAGTACACTTTTCACATGATAGTAGAGGAACTACACCCACTAAAACACTTGGAAACTATACCGAATGAGAGATCTGTTGTGCAGACTGAATGATTGGAAGTGGATGGGCCTCTGTGTTGAATACATACTTATCTAATGGAAGAATATTGCTTTCACCAAACAGCAAATACAAGTATTTCAGTGTTTCTCCAAGGAAGAAAGTTTCCATTTTGTCTCTCCTAGGTGGGGGCAAGCTTGTGACATCATCCAATGAAGTATAGCCACCAGAATCAACTCTTGTATACTTCTCAAAAGCCTGAAAAATCTGCCAACCCCATTCCCTATACCTGTGTAAAAGAAAAGGAGATAATAAAAGGATAGTCAGTGGTGGCATTATTGCCTGGCTATCCTCCCGGCGGTGTTTACCCCCTATGAACCCTAACCCATAACATTATTCAAAATTGAGTGGCAGGTGACCTAAAGATAATAAAGTAGTGTTATATCTTACTTCGGATCCTCTGTGATTCTATATAAAACAAATAGTGATTCTACAGTCTCTGGGCGTAAAAGATTGTGACGATCCAGAGGTTTGATTATGATATCATTAACATATTGAGAACTTTTGTTCCCACCATCAGGTCCTCCCTCAGAATTACCCTGTAAAATGCACATGCCAATATTTTCTTCAAAATCAAAATGGACATCAATATATATGAAAAATAACAAGTAATGGAGATTTAATTCAGGAGTACATTGTAATACTCCATAAAATGCTGAACCACTTACCTCAATGTGAAAATAAGCAATTTCAGGAGCAAGTCCAGTAGATGTCACAAAGTACATTTCAACACAAGTTTTGGCCAAATCTTCAGCAAGCTGCAGATTGTCTATGTCTTCCGCAGTCAATAAATGATTTTCAAGAGCTTTTTTCTTGGTTATACCCTTCGTTGCACCCAGAGCAAGGGTACCAGGAAGAAAACACACCTACAGAATGAAGACAAAGTGGTGCACATCACAAAAGGGGTCAAAAAATGCCCGGGAAAAAGAAAAGATTTGAAGGATTATCGAATTATTATTTTTAGTTATAAAAGAAATAGAGAGAGTTCCAAGTAGTTGCATACCAGGTGATCCATTTTAGGGCTAAAACCACTATTTCGTCCATAGGGGAGCTCCCCAACGAAGACCAGCCCATTTGGAATAGTTTTTCGAACAAGAAGATGCTTGACCCCTTTCATTGCTTCTGTATACATTTCAAATAGATACTTCAAACTAGTGTCACGATATCTTTCTTGCTGAACCCATACTTTCAATAGGTATTCATAGTAACTGTCACCACGAGATCCTAATCGAATATTTTCTCCACTAAATTGACCAGAGGAGGGACTGCATATAGAAAACAATAATGAGAGCATAATCACCTCAAATATCAATTTTTCTGATGGTTAGACAATGCAATATATTCTGAACTTAATTTAGTGCCAAAACACAGAAGGGTTCAAGCAATGCATACTTGATGTAAATAGGAACCAAACCCTCCACTGTTGGGAGTGTTCGCATATGCTCTAACACTTTCATTGCCTCTAAGTCATACTTTGGATCTCCTGATATTGTGCTAAGGTAACTGTACTCCAGCTGCAATGTTGTAGCCTCAGAGGTACTGCTTAAACCATCAGGGGCTGCATGTGCAGTTCGATCTCGAAGAACAACATCACTTAAAGGTATAGCAGTTGGGCTTGATGTAAAGGCTAACAATAATCTGTCTGCCAAGTCCTTTGAAACTTCCAAAAGACGCTCCGGATTAGCCCTTTTAGATGTCATTGGTATCCCAGAGTCACCTCTTGCTTTGTCACCACCACTCAAGTGATAGGCACTAAGAAGCCCTCCCAAGACACGGATAGTAGTTTCAAATAGATTGACCTGCCCTTTCTCACTTAACTTTTTCATGAGATTATCTTCAATCCATTTTGATGCTTCGGAAACAACATCATCAGCACCCATTATTATTGCAGTGTCTAAAGAATCTACAACAGTAGCGCCTAGACCTCCTAGTCCATCTATACCTCGGCGGGTTAAAGGCATAAGCTCATCATAACCCATTGCATAATTTCGATAGCCAGACCATGCATGTTCAAATGCTTCTTTAACTTTCTTCTGTCTGAGTGTCCATTCAGATTGAGGAGACTGTAGAAGCAATGAATTGTTTCTATAGATTTCATTTGGAGGAAGACGTGGCGGCAGCCTTGGTGGCTTTCTCCAAAATGTACGAATTTTGGGAAAATCTTTCTTGGTATGTGTATTCCCTACTTTTTCATGGAGCTCACCGGATACAAAACCATCCGAACTTTTGTGCACAAGTAAGTATATTACGCCAGAAACCATTAAAAGACTCAAAAATTTTCCAACAGTGAACTTTCCACATTGGTACTTGCTGCTATTGGTAAACAGAGCCTGAGAGGCCATCTGCATAGGGAAATAAATAAACATTACGAAAGAAGAAATAAACACATTAAAAAATTAATAAAAATTTCACATTGCAAGAAGTCGAAAACAACTGTTATGAACTTACTTTACAAGCTAAGGATATCAATTGATCGTCAAAAGCAAAGTTGTAGGATTCATGAGAGTGAATTTTATTTAATTCCTAATGCTATGTAATTAGCATTCTAACACTATCTACTACTACACAACAGATCTCACGAAATATTATCATTGTGAATTTAGTTATAACTGGCAATCATAAATCTTATGGAGCACCGAAGACCGCAGTCAAACACTTGGAGCTCAAACCTCAATCTCTATGGACATAGCATTCAACAAACCGGATCTATCGGAGTCCACTCATAATGGACAAAGGCAGAAAACCTTTTGAAGTCATCCAATTCTTTCCAGCTCTGGCATAACTAGGAGACAACTATCTGAATCCCTAAATGCACAAAAAACTACGTATTACTACACCCTCATCACCTAACTTATTAAATTAAATTTGGCAGCAGCACAAGAACAGCACATAATTATCAGGTCCAATCAGATCAGACACACCCTAAGGCGCAGACGCCCACGGACATGACCAAGAACTAATTCGGCAGCAGCTAAACCCACAGATCGGGGAGCCATGAATCCCTCAAGCCAACCAGATTCCACACCTTCTACATCTCCTAAAACAAAAACAACACAAATGCTACTGAAAACGAATCGAGCAGCCGCACCGCGCCGCAAGGGATTCGGGGATCACAACAGCAAACCGCACGCGCACCTCGCGGGGAAAGAAATGGGAGGGGTGGAAGGGGATCGGGAGGGAGCAAAACCTTGAGGCGAGATCGGTGGCGGAACTTGGCGTTGTTGTAGGCGCCGCGGCCGTCCACATCGCGCATCGAGTAGGGGAGGGGGCCCGAGCCGCCGCCGCCGCCGCTCATCCGCGCGGAGGGAGTGGGGAGTGGGGATTGGGTTGGGGTGGTGAGGAACGGAGCTTCGAGAAGCTTCTGGAAGGGGGAGGAGGGTCGTGGCGCGCGAGATCCGGGAGAAGAAGAGAGGACACGACCGCGGGGCGAACGTGACACGTCGTGGACTTGGGTTGGGAGAAGCGGGTCCGATAACTGCCATAAGAGGATACCACCACACTGGTGGTGCCGTTTAACTGTCTGAAGACTAAATTTCAGAAAACTATAATTTTAGCGATAAAACTATCAGTTTGTTGTGACATTAGTGATAAATTTCAGTTTGCTATAATAATAGTGTGGAAAATTATCACAAAACTCAGCTAAAACTCAGCTATTGTTGCAGCAAACTGAAACTTGTCGCTAATGTCGCAGCAAACTGATAGTTTTATCACTAAAGTTATAGTTTTCTAAAATTTACTCTTGTCTGAATAAATTAAGGGTATCGGCAAAAAGAAAAGGAAAAAGTCTATACGCCCTACTACCTCCAGCTGATTTTTTTAAGTACGTCTTTTTTAAAAAATAACTTGATTACTATTTTTATTATAGTATATATAGAAATATTAATAAATGAGAGCTTCTTTGATGCTTGGAATTGATTACAACCGTTGATCGACTATGATCTAATGCATTAAGATAAAAGATACCATGAAAAATATTCTTAAAGGGTGGGTTAGGTACGAAAGATGAAAGGTTAAAATAGTAATTGATTTTTATGATTTATTTATACAGTTAAGGAAAAATACTTACAATCATCTTTTATCATCTTTTAGTATATATAGAAAATACTTACAGGATTTTAGGAAATCACCAGTATCAAATATTTTGGTCTAAAGTTGTCAACGCTGCACGTTTGATGCAAATTAGAAGTAACATGCATCGGTATGGTACTTGACTAGTTTCTCATTGTGCCCGATTTGCTTAATTAAATACTCAGCGATTAACAAGCGTAATATCTTCTTTGGTCATGCTAGCAATTAAGCGCATCAATTTTGCAAGAAATCAATTGCTCCAAACTTTTCAATTCCATTTAACAGCTTCCGAGCTAATCAACGCTTCAAAAAATGAATCAATGCTACGCCCTTCTTCCAAAAAAGTTACACAAGACATGTAACAAATATCATGAAGTAAATACTAATGAGTATTTTGAGTATTTAGATGGCTCCTTGGGTTCTAATTAAACATTTAATTTGCCTCTCCATGTAAGTATTGGATGATCTCCATATAAATCTTGGATGCATAAAGACTACAAATGATATTTAGAAAAATAATTAAATGTGAAATATGTCTAACTCTTGTGGATGGAGGCAGATGTATTAGAGCAAGTATAATAGTGAGCTATAAGCCTACTATAAACTTATGTGGAGGAGAGATGTAACAAAAAGTTAAGGGTGTTGGCTCTCATGCAAGAGCTAGCTTAACACAAGTTCCAAGACAAATACAATTAATGTATAAGTGAGAGATAGAGAGATGAGAAGAAAATTGTAGCCAACCTTATAGCTAATCTATTATATGTGTTGACTTTAAGATTGGCTAATAGTAGAAAGTGAGCTCTATTATTATCCTTACTCTTATGTAACCATCATCAGCAGCCAACCTCCATCAGCAGCATTCAATGACAATCAGATCAGCCATCATATGTGTTCGCCGGTCGCCACCAATGTGCACGCCCACGCACGGCTGGCCCTGCTTCTCACTCCTTTCTCTTAGGGTTAGAGGCACAGATGGAGTGGGTTACCAATCACTTCAGTATATTACGCTTCTACCCTTATTAATATTATTTCTTACTAGAAAAGATGCCCAACGAGTGAAATAAAATTATAACAAATATAAAAATATTAGATGATTAGGGTTTAGTTTTTCATGATATGAGCCCTTAAAAATATATATTCCTTAGAAATAAAAAGTTCTTTAAAAAGATAAAAAAGGCACACTGCACCCTTTTGGCATGCTATCACGCACTCGGCCCATGAAATGTGTGTGGCCCAGTAGTGCTGTGGCCCGAGATGGAGGCTGGCCCGACGCGGGATCGATCTGAGCCATTCGTTTTGATGGATGGCTCTGAACGGTTCTAAATCCATCAAACCCGTCGGTACCAAAATCTTAACCATAATTCACATTTTCCCCTCTCATCCCCCACCGCGAGTTCCTCCTCCCCCTTCCCTCCCGGCGGTGCCTCTACCCCTCTCCTCCCTTCTCCTGACTGGGGGCGCCGCCACCTCTCTGCGGCTCCCTCTCCCCCTCCCCCACCGGCATCACCAGTCCCTCTCCTCCTCTCCGTCCTGTCTCACTGGCAAAGCACGAAGACGACGAGGGCACGACTCCATTCGCGAGTGGATAAGGAGAGATAGGGGTGGAGCGCGACGGCTTCCCGCGGCCCGATCTCTTCCCACGGTGGATCCGACAGCGACGGCTTCCCACGGCAGATTCGGCGGCACCGACGGTGCCAACGGCTACCCGCGTGCAGACCCAGCTCGCGGGCTGATCCGCCACCGACGGCGGCTTCCTGCGGTGGATCTGACGGCAACAACAGCGGCGGCTGCTTCCCGGGGTGGATCCAGCAGCACCGACGGCGCCAGCGGCTACCTGCGTGCAGATCCGGCTCGTGGGCCGATATGGCAGCGGATCCGACGGCGACGACAGCGGCGGCTTCCTGCGGTGGATCCAGTGGCTACCCGCATGTAGATCCGGTGGCAATGACGGCGTCAGAGGCTTCCGGTGATGTTTTTATTAATTTTTTTCTCTTTCGCTGGATTGTCCTATTGGATTTTGTATTTATGCTTGTGATGAATTTTCGCTGGATCGCTCGGGCATTTGGTTGTTGATGCGGACTCTGGATGATTTTTTTTTGTCTTGGACTCGCATATCGGACGTTGCGGACGAAAATATTAGGTGAAGATGGACGAAAATCCACCGGAATCCTTATGTATTTTTAATTAGGTATAGATTTCTAAATTATCCTTTAGAAATCAACGGTGGATATTAATTTATCAAATACTTTTTAAGACCAATCTATATATATATATATGGTCATCATATTTCTAAGATAAATATTGTAGATGTTATTTATAATCAAATCTTTAAAAGTTTGATAATAGGCTTGTACAAAACGACAAGTATTTATATTACTAAATTCTTACTATGTGTCACATTATAAGTACATTTAGGTTTCTTATAACTTCCATCTACTTAAATCAAACAGTTGAGATCATTGTTTGTAAGAATTTTGTAAAAAATAATTAGTACGTGTAGCAGTACAAATGCATACTTGATGTATATAGAGACCAATGGTACCCGGTTTTATAGGTACGAGATAGAATTTGAAGCAATATAATACCATGCTTATGGGATCAAAATGTTGCATAAAGCTTAGTTTTACTATATCAAGATTTTTTTTCAATAGCTTATTATTTTCTTATAAATAAGGCAGGGTGTTTCTTAAATGAAGAGATAATAGTTAAGGTAGAATGCCCACTCTCACTGCTTTTGGTTATAGCCTGGCAAAGACCTAACATGTTTTCATTTTTAACAACGACGTCCTAGGGACACCTTATATCTGATTTATATTATGAAAAACAAGAATCAGTATAGAAAAAACCATAAAAATTATAATTAAATTTGATAAAGCTTTCCCCTCCACCGCATTCAGTCGTAACTATGATCACTTTATGTTGTTTCATATCCCCATTCATCCAATCATTAGTGGAAGTGAGGACAAACAAGAAAACCAAGCAAAATCTAGATAGTCCTAATTGCACAGTTGTTTTAAAGACCGCAATAGCCGTCCGCTCCAATGATGGAATCCATAAAACCGCTGAAAAAACATCAGCAAGGCCATGCCCCAATCCTAAACTAGATCTACTTCTGCACCGCCATCCATCGACATGCACACAACCCTCACAAGCCCTTCACCACTGTCGGATGGACCACCCGTGAAGCAGAAAGAAAGAGAGAGCTGGAGGGTCGTTATTCCAAAGAATGTCATTTCTCCACTCATGCAACAACGCCATGGACACAAAGCGCATAACACAATCACATCCTTATGAGAGAAACCACCGAGGAAAGATAGTCAGGAAAGCACTATATATAAGATTCACAATCACGGAGAGAAGACGAAAAAATTATCTAGAGGAAAGACCAAGCATGTTGCCACCATTGAAGACATGCAGTTGCCTATGAAATAGGATGTCCCACCACAACACAAATCTTTAAGCGATTGAAAGTTCAAAAATTTCACCATTAAAATACCGCGATATTGTCAGACATTATTTGCGTTCTATTTATTGTCACATAGTACAACCCTATAAATAGTTGCGTAAGCGTCTTGATCTAGACTCATATTTCTCACATCCCTAAAGCTACAACTTACCCCCATAAATAATTGAAGAAAAACAATAATAAAAAAGAGAGAGTAAGCAATTCATGAAAAAAACACAACAATAATTAATTTCTAATAAATCTACACTCATGTCATATACTACTACAGAATAATCTACTGCTGCGCCTCGAGGTCCCTCTCCCTGCCGTCGTCCACCACTGTCCCCGTCGGCCTCGGCGCCGGTGCCGGCACCGGCGATGTCAATGCCCGCGACGCGCTGCTCTCCGGCAACTTCTCAACGCGCGCCGCACCGGCCGGCCTAACAACCACCTCGGCGCGGCAGACGGGGCACGTCGAGTGCTCCCTGAGCCACACATCGACGCAGCCCCGGTGGAAGACATGCATGCATCTGGGCAGCCGCCGCGCCGCCTCCCCGTCGGCCATCACGGCGAGGCACACCGCGCACTCCCGTTCCTCTTCCTCCTCCTCTGCTGCCCCCACCGCGCCGCCGCCGCCCTCCTCCCTTTGCTTGTACGCGAACACCGGCAGCGCCGCGATGGCGTCGTCATCCAGCCCAGCCGACCGCTTCTTGGCTGACCCAACCGCCTCATCCGCGGCGCCGTCGTCCCGCCGTGGTCGCGCCGACCTCCACACGAGGTACCACCGGATGATGCAGAGGATGAGCAGGATGGCGAGGAGGGAGCCGAAGCTGATCCCGAGGACGACGACGTACGACGCGGTGGTGCAGCACGCGCGCGCCACGGTGGCAGAAGCATCGCGACGCGTCGTTGTGGCCGAGGCGTGCAGGTAGCCTGGCGAGCTGGCCGACGACGAAAGCGCGAAGCATGCCTGGTCAGCCGGGAGGCAGCCCGTGACGCTCCCGCTCCCACCGTCGCGGCGGGTGCCATTGCTGCCAGAAGGGGCAGCGGCGACCGAGGATGACGATGACGATGGCATGGCGAGAGGTGGGGGTCAATGGGCTGTGGGGTGCATGGGGTGGTGGGAGCTTGCTTTGAAGAGGGGGAGGGGGAGTGGGGGATTGCATGGTTGGTTTGCATGGTGCGGGGAGTGTGGAGTGAGGGAAGTGCGGGGGTGTGGAGTTGACCGCCGCGGCGAACGCATTTGACAATAATAGGTTGGTGGTGGCAATGCCATGTTTGGTTCAAGCAAAGTTCCACACTTTTTCTTTCATTTTATTTTCCCTTTTTGCTTATAGATTAATAATCATGGAATCAACAAAATTACTTCCATATATAATTATTGTGGTGTTACATGAATTTTATATGGTGATATTGTCGAGGGAAGATCCTCAATAGCGGGGAATCGTGAGACCCCCCATTTGTGAGTTCGGCCGGGGGCGGAGGCTCGTCTCTCGGAAATCACTTGCTCGTCCCTAAGATTACCGGCAAGCTTGCACGCAGTTGGATTATACAGGTTCGGGCCGCTATGGAGCGTAACACCCTACTCCTGTGTTTGGGATTATGGATGAGTTTTACAAAGGTTTCTTCACTCTAGAAAGCGCGCTCACTTCCTCTCTTCTGGAGTTCAGGTTTTCTGGGCGTTATCCCCCTGTCTCAGTGGGCAGGGTCCTCCTTTTATAGCTCAAGGGGATACCACAAGCGCAGCCTCTACCTACCCTCTATCGGAGGGGGATCCCGCTCTACTTTTTCTGGGCTTTAAACCGTGCCTTCTCCCGGAAGCTAAGCAACAACCGGTTCTCGAGTGGAACTCGGCGCCGCTCCCCGCCTGACACGGGGGACAGCCCTGTCATTCCCTCATAAATGAACGATGACTTGCGACAGCCCTTCCTCAAGTGACGCTCGGACGTGACGGGTCATACCCACCCCCACTCCGCCGGGTACAAGGGCGACGTGAGGAAATGGTTGCTCTATCCATCGGATGTGACGGTGACAGGCCGGTCACATCCGTTGGACAAAGGTTAGCTAGGTGCGCCGCACGTCTGCCCTTACCGCATTAAATGCGGTGAGGGACAGTTGGGGCGTCGCACATTTATGGCTGTTCAGCCTATGCTCCCCTCTCGCTCTCTCGTCGGGGAGATGATGATTCCAAGGACCTCGTGGGGCTTGGGAATATCTGCGAAGACAGCTCTCTCCCTCCGCCGCGTGGCAGCCGAGTGAGGGCCTCAAGGCGTAGCCGCGGGATAGCCCGAGGGGGTGACGCCATGCCCCGAGGCCCCCCCTCCCCCCCCCCCCCGCTTCCACGACTCGCGTGACGCGTGAATGGGGCTAACTTGCAAAGTCACGTGGCCGGAGGGAAAGTAATTCCCCTCTACTTCACATACCCCCGGGTCCATATCTCCGACAGATATAGAGCACAATTAAGAAATAGAGAAACAAAAATAAGTGTCTTGCTTGGATGTGATCAAATTGATCCTTGTCGTATCAGTTGTCTTAACTATCTTAGAGAAGATTTTACAGAAGTTTTATCGTACCTTTTCCTTTATTTTGGACCCCTTTTACTGAACATTGGTAAAAGGAAGGGTGTAATCTATATTTCGCTCTTTTTTTTCTCTATTTTACGTAGACATAGATTGACATAACATATTTATTATTTATAGGATGGCTAATAGCTCCCTTAATTAAAGTCCTTTGGCTCTTCGTTGTATTAAAATCCAAAACATTTTTTGAATTTAAGAAATTAGGATGGTCTACTTTTCAGTTATTTTAAAGTTTTATTCAACTTTTTGAATGCTAGAACTGCATCAAGATTCGTGTAGACCCTTACTCTCTCCCCTAATCTCTTCTCCTTCCCCACTCCATGACATGCGGCTTCCCTCTCCCGTCATCTCCTAAGTCCCTCGAGCTTGTCAATGCGGTGAGCCCAGCCAACTAGGCTTCTCCCTCTCCGTGTGTCCTCCAAACTAAGGCAACCCCTCCCCTCTGTGTTGTCACCTATCCGTCATCACCAACAATCATCCCTCTAAGCTCGAGGAAATCCCCCTCTTCCCCTCTTTCCTACTCCTATCCCACCTTGACCCCACCTAAAAACGAAACTCTAACTCACCACCGCCATTTCGCTGTCACTCGAGAATAAGAGCTCATCGTTGTGTCTACCAACGCTAAGAGATCATAGCATGTGTCAGGGTTATGGATAATACATACCCAACAGTAGTCGACTAAGCACGGCGGGGTCCACCATATACCAAGTCTTATATGGAATCATACCTCATATGGAAAAGGAGTTCCGAATAAGGAAGGACAAGTAGAGTTCTATATTGAAACTATAAAGACTACTCAGATTGTATTCATATTTGTGTCCCTAATTCTACTTAGACAAGTGGACATCTATGGGTATAAATATAAGACCTCCTAAGAGAAAGAGGAAGAGAGGACACAGAACAGTCAGAATAGACATCAATACACACCGCTAAACATCGACATCGGAGATTAGCGTCGACATACCCAATCTGGTGCCATCGGAGGCCGTCAAGTGGGATCTAGCGCTATCTCTGATCTCGCCGAGTATGTATTTGAGGAGGAAAACTACCCCGTCATCGACTACGTATTGGTTTTCCATGCCGCCAAGTCGACGACGACTAGATAGGTTATCTCAATTATTGTATTTGTGTGATTTTAATGAATAAGAGCAACACCAGTTTCGTCCAACAAGAGTAGGGCTATTACCTGATTCTGATGAATAAGGGGTCCGAACCTGTATAAAAATCCTTGTCTCTGTCTCTTTTATTTCAATCTCGTATATGTCCTGATATCAACGATTCTCATATCATACAAATACCATAGTTGTGATCTAAATCGTCGACAGCATGTGAGTTACCTCCTTTCTCTACAATCTGGACGATTCAACACGTCACGTAAAGGCTGACATTCTCTTATATTAACTTTTAAACTTATATTTTGTTTTTTCATTCAGCTTTCTTTTCATAATTGATACGTTAACGTGTCTTTTAGTGCTGAAGTTTCACTTTGTACCACCCTTTGACTAATCTTTCACTTTAAATTAGTTTTTTTTAAACATTTCACTTTAAATTAGTTAACTTACATATTTTACACTTTTCATCTCTACTATCTTTCTAGAGAGAATCCATTATTTACCACTGACTTTATCACACGTCTACGATTTGCTACTGACTTTATCATGTTCTACAATATGCCATCGACTTTTGCTTAACTTCTACAATTTACCATCGCCGTCCGGTTAGTCTCCGTTAGTACTGTACAAATTTGTCAAAATGACCAAAATACCCCTGGGAGAAAAGGTTTCAAAATTTGGATAAAAATTATGAAATATCATATTTCAAGTTTTTGGTCAAATTTTGGATGTTTACAATCTTATGTTTATAATATAATATTTTGATAATTTTATCCAAATTTTGGAAGTTTTTGTCATAGGGGTATTTTGGTCATTTCGACAAATTTGTACAGTACTAACGGTGGCTAACCGGACGGTGATGGTAAATCGTAGAAGTTAAGCAAAAGTCGATGGCATATTGTAGAACGTGACAAAGTCAGTGGCAAATCGTAGACGTGCGACAAAGTCAGTGGCATATAATGGATTATTTCATCTTTCTAGCCATTTCTAACCACTTATGCAAGAAGATATACCTTGTGCACACTGGCGCAGCTAGGGGGTGAAGGTGCCAACACCCCCCTATCCAAACACCACCACCACTACATATTCTGTTTTTACTTTATATTAAGGTTAACTAAGATAAGTATTTATTTAGTTTATTTGTGTAGTTTGAAAGTATTATCAGATTAGTTAATTAGCAAGTCTAAAAACATTAGCAACAAACATGATCTACAAAATTAATTTTTGATTTCTCATCTTTTTCAAAGTAAAATAGATAAAACTTATTTGTGAGATTATTCAATAGTTTACATTGAAAGAATTTAGCAATAAAGACTAGTTTTAAACTTTCAATGATATTATTAAAGAGGTAAAATTTAAGTTTTTTTTAAATGACTAGTTTATGTATTGATTGTTATTAACGGTAACTATTTGACCCTCTTTGCTATCAGTATTAGTTATTCGGTCTCATGGCTTATCCTCACTTCACACCCCCTAATTTTAAATCCTGGCTCTGCCCCTGCTTGTGCATGGGTGAGATGGTCCATCAGCCCGTTGGAACTAATGTGCTCTAGGTCGTTTTGTGCAGGATAAGTTACTTAATCCTAAACGGAAAGATGGAACAAACGGTGATCAAAAGTGAAACTCTGACCAACAACAGTGGCCTAAATTGCATTTCATAATTATTTTAGGGTGAATAGCTAAAGTGGTCCTTCAAATTTTATAGTTTAATCCTTAATGTTTTAATCTGTTCATACTAGTTTTTCAAGTTTTGGTTTTAGTTCAAACTTACTCTTGAACCCACTTAGAAACCATATGGCTAAATATAACCAACAACTCTCTTGATAAATAACAGTTATATCCCCTCATTCACATATATAAGAGAAAAATTTACGTGTAATGAATTTTTTTAATAAATAATGCATAGTAATTTATATAAAACGAAAATAAGTTATGTACTTGCAAGTGTATATCATAGCTATTAGGCTTAAGTTTTATGTGCACACGTTGAAATTATGTGAAGTATATATGTAATGTTGTTTATTCATCCTGGTTTTCTCTTTTCTAGTGTATAGTTGTATATAAATTAAGGGCAAAAATGACATTTTCTAACATAAATGCTGACTAGAAATAGTCTTATGGTATATTAAATCTGTCCAAGGATGATTTTATGTAAAAACAAATAATTAGATAATCTATATGGACAAAATAAAATCTGAAGGAACAAATTAAGCCTTTGATAAAATTTGAGAGATTAAATTAGCTATTCACCCATTATTTTACTTTTTTTAAAAAAATCAAACTTCAATATTCAAATTTACAGGGTAAAATGTCAAAGGAAACCGACATTTCTTTAGTTTAACGGAGGGTATATCCGTGGTTGTTTTGGTTGTTGCGCCTAAAAATCCTGTGGGGGAACCTCGCCGGCGATCCCTCCAAAGCCCAGAAGCGACGCCGCCGCCGCCGCCGCCAGCCGCCACGTTATCCATGAGGCCTCTCCTCGCCCGCCTCTTCGCCCCGACTTACATTGCCATGGGTTTCTCCTCCTCCGCGTCGCCGCCGTCCCGGCGGCTTGCCCACCTCACACGCCACCTCCTCCTCAGCTCCGGCGAGCTCTCCTCCTCGGTGGGCGCCCCCGCCGCCGCCGCCCGGCCGGCCTACCTCGCCGCCCCCAAGGGCTACGCCGCCGTGCTGGTCTGCCTCTTCGAGGACCCCCACGGCGGCGACCCCCGCGTCATCCTCACCAAGCGCGCCGCCTCCCTCTCCTCCCACTCCGGTCTATATGAGCACCCAAAGCTGGGATCCTTTTTTGAAGAATTTTCTTGCTAAATATCTCATTGGATTTGTTCAATTTATTGTGGAAAATTGATAGGGGAGGTGTCGCTGCCGGGAGGGAAGGTGGAGGAGGGGGATGCGGATGCGACGGCGACGGCTCTGCGGGAGGCGAAGGAGGAGATTGGGTTGGACCCTGCGCTTGTTTCTATTGTCACAGTTCTTGAGCCCTTCTTGTCCAAGGTAAACCCATTTTTTTTTCAAGTACTCTTGGCATGGTTGCGAAATCTAGGTAATGTTAGGTTATAGCTTTTACCTATGAATTTTAGTGGTTTGAATGTGCTTTTGTTACATTGCCTGTGTGGGATGGAAGTGAAACCATCGTCGATACAAAGAGGATCGGTAGTTAGTCGATCTAGTGTAAATCCTACTGAATTGCAGGAAGTGGCAGTAGCTGTGCTGCCAGAGCAGCAGCTATATAGTGCATGTTGCAGGTCAAATTCTGTTATAGTATTGAGTTGATATGAGATATTTGTAATATTTTAGCTTTTGAGCCCCAGTCTTAATATGCTGAATGGTTTATGTGTACTGCATCTGCATGCCTCAGATTGTTCAGAGAAACAGAAAGTGTGAAGCATTAGCGAATGAGTCAATCACAGAAGTCATGTGATTTTTTTTACCTTGTTCTTAGCATGTGTTAGATAGTGCTAATAAAAGTAGAAACCAATATGATGATCGATGGATTTTGATTCATTCAGAGACAATAATTCAATAAAGAGATAATGAAAATATGCTTGCTAGTTCATTTGATCTCTGTTTGCCATTTTATCGCTTGTTTGTGTATTGCTGATATGCCAATGCCATATCACATTTCTAGTCCCAAGGCGTTATATAACTGACTTGTGAGAATATAAGTTTACGTGCATGGCCAACTGCGAATGTCTTGGTTTTCAACTAATAACAACCAAAAGTTCTTGCATACTTTGGTGCTTCATCTGGTTATTGCTGTTTTCTTGACAAATAATACTCTAAATAACTACTCAAACACATGTGTCCATCCAAGTTCATCTAAATTACCTTTTTTAGTCACCTGAGCTTGGTACAACTTGTCATCTCTTCCCCAAGAACAGGTGCTCTTTCACTCTAGTAAAGTCAGGCCACTTACCTGTTTCTTACACTAAATTATTATGGTTGCTATCTGATATAAGCTGTGTGAGTTTTTGGAACCCTGCCTTTGTGCATCAAATTTCCCTTTGTAATATCAAGTAATCTATAACTGTAGTCCCATGCTCAGACCCCACCGTTTTCTGTCCTTAGAGGAGAGATTTCCAATTAACATCTCACTCTTATATTAAAATACTGATAAAACTATTTGCTCTATATGGCTTTAATTGAGTAATTATTGATTTCCAAGATAACACATTCTTTGACACATTCAATAGAAATGCAAACTATCCAGAACTCATAGTACAGTCATTTTGTAGAACGGACTCCATGTAACTCCTGTAATCGGCATTCTTTCGGATAAAGCTTTATTCAAGCCTGTCTTGAATGAATCTGAAGTGGCAGACATCTTTGATGCACCTCTAGAGATGTTCCTGAAGGTATTACTGTTATTTATCGATGTTACTCTTCTCCTTTTATATTCATCATCAACTTCTTGTTGTCGACAAGGGCATTGTTGCATCTAGCTCTCATTTCTACCATACCTTTAGGATGATAACCGGAAAACACAAGAATCGAATTGGATGGGCATGAATATTCCAGTCCAGTCTTTTGAGTACCAGTCAGAGGACAAAACGTTTGTGATTTGGGGCTTAACGGCACACATTCTGACTCGTGCTGCAGCAGTCGTTTTACCGAGAGAACCATCATTTGTTGAATTTCGACCAAGATATGTGAACTCACCCTCTGGAGATACGAATGAAACAAAACGCTGATGCAATACCATAATCATCAATATGTAATTCTAGCATTTATCCCCTCCATTCAGAGGCAGCTGCTTGTGCCTGTCTATAGAAAATCAGCTTACTGTACTTTTTGTATGTACACGATAGTCCATAGAATGTTGCATCATCAGCATGTTGGAAAATTTGTCAATTTGATCATCGGACTCAGATAGTGAACACTCTTTTGTTGCACTTTCCACAGAATGTTGTAAACTTGTAATACTTGAAACTTGCTCGATATTTGGATGCACTCTCTGAACAGGAAACAAAAGTAGCAGATCAATGTTTTTTGTTAACGAATTGTTCAGCCTGTGGGATATGTCTGTTTTGTTTGAATTGCACGATGCTCGTACTGTGTCTTCATGTGAATTTGAGTTTTTCATGAAAAGCGGCTCACCGGCCGTGCGATTTGAGATTGTCTTGAATACAATTTATTATTGTTCTGCTTTCTTCAAAGCAACATAGCTATGTGCTATGATTAATAACAAAGATGAGCAATCTCCCTCATATTTTTTATTAACTTGCATGTAGCAAAGAATTAATCTATTTCCGTGCTAAAGTTAACTTGCTTTCACGTTCTAAAAATGTAAAATGGCAATTATAGTAGACCTTAGAAGATCTTGTCTTGTCTAAATCTAAGCCCAGTCTGATTTTGCCCCCAAAGGCATTTTGCGCCAGGCTTGGACGAGGACTTCTCAACCAGAGAACATTCTAAATGCTAACTACTGTAGCTCGTGTAAAACTTTTTAGCAAAGTTAGGAAAACTCATATTTTATGATCAAAGTTGTACAAAACCGCAGTTATCAGAACTGCTGGCACATAACTCTCCGTATTATGATTCTAAAATTTTACAAAACCTCACCTCTATGCATGTTAAACACAAATTCACTTAAAATTTTTAAATGTAGAATGTATAAAATTTAAATTGTTGGTTTCTTGATTAAGATTGTCTTAACTCTTCACTACTTTTTAAAAAATAATTTTAGATATGCAAACTAATTGAGAATTGAATCCTGGTAGGATTTTATGGAACGCTTAGGATGTGCTAGGGAGGAGGGGTTGGGAAACCCACCTCTCTGGCACGTATAACTATGCACTTATTAGTATATAATTAACTAAGTATTATTTTTTTAAAAAAATAGATTAATATGATTTTTTAAAGCAACTTTTTATAGAAAACTTTTTTAAAAAACATCGTTTAATAGTTTAGGAAGCGTGTATACGAAAAACGAGAGAAAACAAGGGGAAGAACAGAGCATTAGACCCGTAAACATTTGTTACATAACACAGATCATAATACATATGTTTTTTTGCATCTTTTGTCACGCCCAGAATTTCTATCCAAAATTCCAAACGCTTACATGTGTGTGAACCCTCGTCCAGGAATCAGCCGAGGCACACAATAACAAATTGATAATAGAGTACAATTATTACTCTAATTAATAAGCGAATATAATGTCATTACAGAGGTAGATAGTTCATCTCAATCAATAAAGATCTAAGCAGCGGAAAATAAGATAAACGGCGCAGACGACTCCACTCCACAGGCAGCTCGACCAGGGCTACACCTAATCCTCCACACCATCAGCATCATTGTAGAACTCTTCCTCTGATGAATGATTGCAAGGTGAGTATATGACATACTCAGCAAGCCACACAGCAAATATGCAAGTGCACAGGATAACAAAGGATGGCATAATAGGGTTCCATTTGCACAAACAGCCTTTAATAAACATTTCAGAATTTAATAAAACAGTTAAGTAATAATTAATCAATATTAATCCAACGCTATACAACATACCCTGTTGCATAGGCCCAACCATTCTGAACAACCATCCCGGCTGCACAGTTCTATCTCCAAACCAGGAATATATCATTCCAAACCAGGAGCTAATCAAATTATTACCAATTAAAGCACCTTTTATTATGATGAGAAGTGTGAGACTAATCACGAAAGACATTGTTAGACCCGCCCATAACCGCGGGCACGGCTATTCGAATAGTTTTACTCTGATCAGAGGTGTACCACTGTACCCACAAGACACAGCCCCACATCATGTCACCATGTGCCTCAATACCACCATGGTACCTCGGAAAGGAGCTGTGACATTACCTCTCGCACAACACAATCCACTACAGCGCACCTTTCCTGGATCATAATCACCCCCTTATAAACAAGGCATGGACTCCCCAGCGACCCCTGTGGGCTTATCTCCGCCACTTCTCAGTCTGGTGCTCCGCAATGAACCATGCTATACAAAAGATAAAGCCGTTGCCCACGCTGGCTTGTGGTTGGCACGGTTAATGTTTCACAACTGAAACTCGTGAACCGGTCCTTAATTGTCATGAGCACGACTCTCAAAACCATGTGCTCACAACCCACCATTATCAGGTTTTAGTTGGCATGTAATTAATTAACCAATCACGATTGACCATCGTGAACTATCATTAAGCCATCATTAAATAATAGTGAGTCAAAAGTTATCCCAATAGTGTGCTAATGTTTCTAAGCATGGCTAAGCAGTCATATCTAATATCTAGCTAAACCAATATATATAGCCCAACTAGTCAAGTTATAATAACCCAAGGTATCAAGGAATAAAGTAATCAAGAACAAAAGGGCTATAACAAACAATAGGTTAATTCCACCCAATGACATTCGAAAATAGATGCAATAGTTGAATAGAAACAATAGCTTTAAATAGGATCAACATGCTCAAAGGGTTGTTTGGGATCTGTGTGACTTGCCTTGCTGGCCTTGGAACTCTTCAAATTCTTCTCCTGCAAAAACGGACTCTCCGGAAACGTCGGAATCTAAACAGAAAAGAGCAAAAACACCAAAACAGCACATAAACAAGCATGAACAGTACATGTGGATATTTTTAACATGTAGATCTCAATTTTAGAAAAAATTAGAGACTTGAACCAACTAAATCCGAGTTAAGATGAATTAGTTATGAATTTTTGAAGATTTAATCGGATTAAAACACTTATATTGATTTTAATTGAATTATGACGCAATAATGAATTGTTTTTGAAAAGGAAAAAGGGATTTATTGCGTCAGCGGCTAGGGTTTGCGGTGGACCGGGTGCACTGCGGCGGTTCACTGGAACGGACGGCCGAGATCGATCCATCCAAAATGGACGGCCGAGATCGAACGGTCCACGACCGGCTCACGGCAAACGGCCACGATGACGTCAGCGGTGACGTCACCACCGGCGGCGGCTCGGGCGGCGCAAGCTCGCCGGCGAACGACGGCGCGACGACGAGAACAGAGGGCACCAGGACGTAGAGCGCGACGCGGCGAACTCACCGGTGACCAAAGGAGCGGCGGAAGACCAACGGACGACGACGGCGGCGAGGAGGAAACGGCGGAGAAGATCGGGTCGATGGCGGCGACGGTGCTCCGGCGGTCTTCGGCGACGGCGAAGGGGCGGACGAGGACGGCAACGCGACGGCGACCACGACGGCGGTCTTCCCGAGCGATGGCGACAGCTGGAACAGCGGCGGCGCACGGCTGGAGCGACGGCGGCGACGGCGGCTCGAGGGCACACGGCGCTAGGGCACTACGGACGACGAGAGGCGAAGGCGAAGGTGGCGACGGGTAGAGAAGAGCTCGGGGGTCCTTTTAAAGGGGCTAAGAGGCGGCGGCGAAGGCCCACGGCGGCCGGCGACGAGAAGGAAACTTCGGGGTTAGAAGGAAAGAGGCCGATCCGAATCGAACTCGATTCCACGAACTTCCAAAACGAATTAGCCGATGTTTCCAAAGGAGAAAAGGTAGAGGAGATCCCAAAGATTGTTTCCCCTCAATCAATTTCACCGGAAACGGAAAGGAACGGCCGGATTTGGAAGGGAACGGCGGCGGCGCGAAACTAGGGTTTCGGGCGGCGGCGGCCGGAGGTTGACGACGACCCTGACAGGTGGGCCCCACCTGTCAGCGGGCGGACGCGCGCGCGCGCGGCGGCAGACTGGGCCGGCTAGGCCGAAGAGAGAGAGAAGGGTTTTGGGCCGACTTTCGGCCCAAAGCCAAAAGAGACTTTTTAAAACCTTTTTCAATTTAAATTATTTCTTAAATGCAATTCCATTTATTAAAAATACTTCCTTAGCTCAAATAAATCCCAGAAAAATCTAGGAATTATAAAATTAAGCAAAGTATTTAATGAAATTTTATCTGGCCCCATTTTATATTGGAATTTATTAATTAACATTAGATCTTCTCTTCAAGGCTTTTAAAAATCATTTCTAAAAATTCCAATTAAACAACAATTTATATATTTTGAATTTTTAGGGTGTGACATCTTTGATCGTAACATGTGGGTTTTCTAAAATTAGAATTATCATCCACTCTAGAAGATAAGCTTGAAATCCCATGCCCCTGTTTGGCAACGCTACCTCGTCACCGATACTCCTATAAAAACCGATACGACTGGAGGGAGGCTAGTGTGTGGGTGAGTGCGAGCTAAGCAAGCACGCATGCAGCTAATGGTCCATCTCCCTCTCTACCTTATCCTCTCCTACTCCAACCATCCACACCCTTGCGCAGCCCTTTGCCCTTTCTAACCTAACTCGTTGACACTTGTTTTCCTCGCCGGTAACACCATCCACTCTTGACTGCGATTGGAAGCACCACTACTATCGCCCGTCTCACTCTCACCATCACCACTACTAAGTGCCACCTACTATTGGTCGGCCTATTCTCTGGCAATCCCTCTAAGCCTAGACCTCTTTCCCCACATCCCTCTCCCTCCCACCATCCCTACCCCTACCTTGAAACCTTAATCCACGAGGGCTTAGACAATAATGACGGTATCGGAGCGCTACTGCGTGCCCCGACAAACCGATTTGTTCGAACCCATGCGCGGGTAACGAACGCTCGCGAATTAGCATTCCTACACTGTGTAGGACCCTGTTCAGTAACCTGCCTCATCTGCCGCTGATTTCTCCATGTCCATCAACGAAGAAAGCGATGGGAAACGCCTCCCACTCGCACGCGCTGGCACGGCACCATGTGATTGACTACATATGTAGGTCAATAATTAGGCCACAACCACAACAACCGCCACAAAATACAATGCAAAACCTGGCATTCATAATTCATACAAAAATTATTAAAACAAGATCGATCGATCGATCGATCAAGAGTTGCATCCCAAAATAAATAATCCACCGCAAAAGCTACAGGCGCCAGCCTCCAGGTAGCTTCGCTATAGCCCATCAAACAAGCAAGAAAGGGGGAGAGAAGGGAAGGAGAGGTCGTCGTCGCCGTCGACGACGATTCACCGGCCATGTGCTGCTGCTGCGGCGGCGGCGGCGACGGCGACGGCGACGGCTGCAAGTGCCGGCCGCTGGGGTGGCTGCTGGGTCTGCCTTTCGCGCTGCTCGCCGTCCTCGTCTCCATCGTCGGCGCCATCATCTGGATCATCGGGTATGTACTTTGTACTCCTCACTCTTGTGAGAAATCAAGTTGCAAGAAGCCAAGAACTCGATTCATCTTCTTGTGAGAAATCACAATTCACAGCGATTGATTGATGGATTTCGTGTGTGTAGGCTGCCGATCTCGTGCATCTGCCCGTGCTGCCTGTGCGTGACGCTGGTGCTGGAGGCGGCGGTGGAGCTCATCAAGGCGCCGCTCCATGTCATGACCTGGTTCACCTCCAAGATACCATGCTAGCTATAGCTTCTTGATTTGCTCTACCATTTGATCAGATATAAACAGAATGATCAGTAACTGATCAGTAAGTATACCGATTATTTATTATTTATTTATGCATATGTACTCTGGCTTGGAGATATGATTAATTTGTCATTCCAATCGAGATTCATTCGGTGAAAAGATATACTCTGTGGTGCTGGTTCATCTTTGATCCCCTTTTTCGTGTGTTCCTGTCAACAACTCCTGCTGCTGATGGAATTTCAGAAACTAAAAAAAAAAAGTCAGGTTGATGGAGTTGGTACAGGTAGAGCCACTGATTAAAGCCTGACGGGTCAAAGGCTCATGTACTAGTAACTTTCTTTGACGAAATTTCAACCAAACAAGTCTGATCCAACTTCGAATTTGTGCGCTTTCTGTGGCACACAACTCAACCTTGACCATTCATCCTTGCGAGTCCACCTTTCCCTACGTGTCTCTCAACGTTCAAGACATGTACAATATACTCCCTCCGTTTCACAATGTAAGTCATTCTAGCATTTCCCACATTCATATTGATGTTAATGAATCTAGACATATATATCTATCTAGATTCACTAAAATCAATATGAATGTGGGAAATGCTAGAATGACTTACATTGTGAAACGGAGAAAGTACGTTGGAGCTCGCGCGGCTATGTCGTAGGCAGCTACTTGCAGGTTGCGAAGAGTGTTGAAGACAATAGACAACAGCTTCAACTTGATTAAGATCTCTACTTGAAGGCACGCTGCCGGCGCTGTCTTCAAGGAGATTCATGCCCTCACCGAGTGATTAAGATCATCTACCTTAAGTCAGGCGACTTTAAAATTACTGACATGTGACTCCATAGCAAAAAACGACCCACTGACAGTGAGCAAGGTAGAAGATTTTAATCCCTCACTGGGGTGTATGAGATGGTCAATGGCTCTGCTCTTAGATACAATGATTGTATCCTCGGCCGTGTATTCGCCCGGGAATGAACCCATAGGCTGGATGTGGATTATAACTTCGGTGTCAAAGAACAGCAACAGTATATGACTTATATAGCTTATCTCTAAGTTGGATAACAAACAATCAGCAGATTGATTTGTTGCCATGAATATCTATAGCAATAAAGGCTTCATCTTTCATGGACAGCTCAAACCAATGCGAACAAAACTGAAAACCAAAGTCTCAAGATAGGGCAAAAGTTTAGATATGTCGTTCTGAAGACTGAACAGAAAAAAAAAGATAAAACCTAAATAAAGACCAAACATCATTTGTGACCTAAATAAAAATGCTTCCAGCTTTTAGTTGTAAGGGGTTGAAATTTCCTTTCAGAATCTTCCAATTATATAAAAACAATTAAATTGGGGGATTGATCCTTCAATTGGAAACCTTAGAAATCAAGGCAGGGGAACATTGATTGCCGTTGCTACCAATTTATGGACTAGTGCAGGCCTTTATTTTCTCCGGTTCCTTTGCTTTCAGCCCAAAAGTTGGGAAGATAGGCCGAAGAGCCCAGTGTGGAAGGGCCGAAAAACAAAAAGTTTAACAAGGCCAGTCAATCGGCTGGCTTGGACTTGGACCTTCTACTCACTTGGGCCTAGTATTCTGCCAGTAGTTTTCTCTCTCGTGATTTGCAGACCTGCCATTCATCAATTCAAAAGTGTAAAACGTTTTTTCTCTGTTTCAAGCATGCGTGGACGTGCGGAACTGTGGTTACTGTATTTTGAGAAAATGATAACAGAATATTTGAAAATTTACAGATTTTCGGGTGTCTAAAATCTAGCAAATCTATATAGAATACTCTCACCATTTCAAAATATTGTACACACCTATTTTTTTCAGATATTTTATAATACAAGGCGCGCATCAAACAATTAATTAGCACATCTCTTCCATAAATTCATTTTTTTTAAGAATTCTCCATCCTTAAATCTCCAATCCCATTGGATATATGCATTGTAATTATTGGAGTCATCCAAACGAGAAGATGATAATAATTTTATCTTGGCTTTTGCATTAGTGATAGTTATGCAATATATTCTGAAATGGAGAAAGTAATACAAAATAATTATAAGGAATGTTGAACAAAGGGTTGAAATCATCGTAAAAATATAGGACTACCTATTGAATAGGCGAACAGAACGACCCTCACATGGCCACATGAATTTCTATTGAGGTGCTAGTAGAGGACATGTACACGGGGCTGTTTGGTTGATGATCATAAGTTGCCACATTTTGCCACACTTGAGGTTAGGCAAGTTTGACCATGTTAGGTGAGTGTTTGGTTGGCTCCCACAAGTGTGACAGGATTTCTCTTTTGTAATCTAGGTCCCACATATAAGTGACTCTAAAAAGTGTGGCATGGTTTCATTTTGTTAGCTAAAGTGTGGCTTGGATTTTGATGGCCTCACCTTTGGCATGTTTAGCTAAGAAAGTATGGTAAGTCTAGGCAATGTTAATATGTGAACCAAACAGCCCTTACATCCCCAATCCACCTTATACCTTCCTGTTGCCTTTCCTTCCTCTTTCTCTGTAAAACTTTGTATTTTTCCCTCACCTTGCTTTTAATTGAATTTGGCAGAATTTCCTCCTTTGCTTGAAAAGGAGGAACAATCCAATGTCATACATAAAACTCACTCGAATCCACATGTCAGCGACTGCTACTAACGATTTCATTCTTTTTCATGCATGACAACCCTTAACTTTGTCTCCAATGTTCCAATCCTGATCCTCACGGCACCTTTCAAACGAATCAAAAAAAAAAAAAACTCAACTCTGCTTTCGCTAACAACCTTGCATCAGCATAATTTAACACTTATAGCCACCTAACCACATGTAGTACATGACATGTTACCAATTTATACTTTTCCCCATTTTCCGTCCTCCAGTTGGGGGTATCTCACATTGCCCTTTCCATTGTATGGCATGGCCACCTTTCTGAACTTTTCGATCAGCTTCAGATTTCAAGGCAGCTAAAGTTAAAGTCCAACCTTCATCAGCTCTGCCCAGGGAGTTAGCCGCCACCTTGCAATAATTCTGAATGTGCAGGGTACTGATCATCATACAGTTAAAAGTTTGCATGAGCTGTACTTTTGGAGCACTGTGCAAGTGTGCAGGTGCAAAATGATTTGTCCATCAGATGCTTTTGACTCATGTTCCTGCATTTTCTTATCTGCAAAGTGCAGATGCCCTCTCAAGTCTAGTCAAGATTGACATGGATGATAGCATATGCATATGAGTTATCACCAATAATTCACATAAGAATTTGAACTGTACCGCCCGGTGAAATACCGCAATGATGATCCTGTATGATGGATAGAAATGCGCAACGGTGCTTTCGTCAGAAAACAAACCCCTGCAATAACACTGTGAAAGTTCCTATGTTCAAATTCGGACCAAATTGTCACAAACTCAGAGTAAAAAATCAGAAGTTTTTGCCCTATAGAAGGAACAACTCGGACACCAAAACTGCATTTCCCTAGGCTGGCTGGAGTTAGTAGCAGATGCACGCATGCACTCGTTGTCAACTTGTCCTTGCAAGCAAGTACAGTAGGTGCATAGTATTTTTCCTTTTTCCTACACTGTTTGATCTTCTGGGCCGATCAATCAGAGCTAGCTGTACCACCAGCTCCAGATTATTGTATCAAACTCACCGAATCGCTCGCGTTCTCCTCGTGCGAGGCGGCGATCGAGCGAGTAGTAGCTGCCGTGTTGGACTCTGCATTCTCTCTACCGAGGGCCTGTTCACTTTGAATTTATTTTCAACCTTACTGAATTTTAGTAAATTTACTTAAAAAAAATAGCTACATTTAGTTTGATGTCAAATTTTGGTAACTATATAAGAAATCCTACTAAAATTATGTTAAGTTATCAAAATTTTAGCAACTAAGCTAGATTGGAGACGCAGATGCAGAGCAAATTTCAGTTCAGTTCAGTTCTCTGAATAAATTAAATCATCCACTATCTCGTTGTGCCTCTGCTTCGACCAGTGTCAGTTTCCAACTTGGTTTTTGTCGCTCTTTTGGCTCCGTGTATCTCGCAGTACGTGCATGAACTTGCTGACGAGTCGTGATGTGATTGAATCGATCGGATTAGGGCCGTGACGACGATGATTTTCCATTGGATGTTGACCACGTGTTCTTGGCATGCAGTGTTCCGTTTTTTTTTTTGGTCTCTGGGCGTTAGACTTATGACGTGCACAATGTCAAATACGGTAGAATTTTGTCCAACTTGTACTCGTGAAAATAAAAGGTTGAACTAAAATTAAACATAACTCCTCATTCTGTCCAAGAATACAAATACTCTATCGATCTAAAATTTATTTACCAAATATAAGATTTGTAGAGTACTACTTATCATGTTAATCATATGTCGTTCAAATTTCTCCATTTTATCCTTAACAATTCTTCCACCTCAATCATCCCTTATTTAATAAGGGGCACCAAAGTCTAGTGGTATATTCCACATTTCCACTATTCCTACGTAGTCCGTTCTAAGGTTACATGATCTCGAGTAAATTATCTAATTCTAACTAATTTATATCATATTAATTAGTATACTATATCCATCAATAATTAAATAATCAGTATGTATAAGACCTTAGGTAAGAGCAGGTACAATAGCAGGCTATTAGCCAGCTATAAACATATTTTAATAAGATAAAAGATGAGAGAGAATAGTAGCGGGCTACAGATATATAGCCAGCTGCAGCACGGACTCCAAGACGCAGTGTGTGTATGACATGTGAGACCATATATTAATAGTATAGTAAGCAACTATTGTATAAATTGGCTATTAGATTGGCTATAGATGAATTGGAGCTTGTAGTGGGCTATACTATTGAACTTGCTCTAAGTATTTGCTTTGAGTACATAACCATTAAAGTCTTTTCTTCTTAACTTCAATAATATTTGTATTTATGGACAAGGAGAGTAATACGGTGAGATCACAAGAGCTCTGACCATACGAGTCACAAATGACCGAGGACACAGAAATTTTGTAGTCTGGATAAAATATTTACTACAAGGTTGTCACAGACCTCTTTCTACCAATGCTCACAACTCACAAGTCACAAAGAACTGGGAAAGGCATAGTAAAGCTCTATGTAAAGCCCATGAATGCATCCATGGAAGCAATGCTAGTCCCAAAGTTGGTAGAAAGAGCCACCTTCCCCTACGTCCCCATGCAATTCATTGTCCTATAATGCTTACGATTATAAATGTTCATATGGTAGCCAGTATGCTTTAAACATATATATGTCGTTAGGTCGTAAAGTAGGGTCCCAGCTAGCTCATCTCTGCTCCCACCCACAGTACACAAAACCCAAATAGGGTCATGTCGCATCATAATATGTATTTTTTTCTCTATTCCAAAATATAATAATTAAGTTTTAACATTCAACAGGGATATTAAGGAGATGGATAAAAAGACTTGTTGTCTTCTTGGTTGGGTGAGATTTAGACCGGACTAGTTGGGACAATACGTTTAGTATAGATAGTTTAGTTGTAAAAATCACGCTTTACAAGTAATAGTTGTCATATCTGGAATAAAGTTTTAACTTTAGAATTTATTATATTTTGGGATGGATGGAGTAATAAAAAGATAATACAGGAGTACCATATGGGAGAACAATAATTTTAAGTCTTTCACTACCTAGCTTATTATTAAGATGATTGGTTTATCTCCATGGAAAAACATTATTAAACTTCCATGCATGCATGCATCTGGTGTGATCCTGGTTTAAAGAAAACGACGGTTATTGGCCATTATTTAAATGGTATAAAAGTTGAAAATTTTGGATCTATATTTTTGTCCACCGTCATTTCGAATTCCCGGGGGCAGAAATTCTGGCCAAAACCCCTATTGTGATAGTTTACACCATATACATATATAATGCTACATCTGGTCTTAGATATTTGATTTTTTTTACAAGATCTGGTTATAATGATAAAATTCCGACAAATTCCGACAATTTAATTTTATATTAGAATAATTTATAAGAACTAATAAAGTTTTGATATTAAGATGGAACTTTTTGAGGCAAATCATGTATACCATTTATTATTTTTTTAAACCGAGCATTTGAGAAATTATTTGACAATCAGAATTTTCAAAGTTTAACCATGTTGAAGGGTCAAAATATTTATGACTAAAGGGAGTAGAACCTAAAATTATATAATAAACACAAAGCTTCAAAATGAAGGAGGCAGATCATCCAAGGTCACAGGCCATATATATTCTACCTAGTTTGGAAAAGGGTAGCTAGATAATTAGATAGGAGAGAACAAGAAAAGAATTTATTCTGCCATGCTCTAGCCTGGCAAGAATTGGAGGGGGACCAAGGTCTAAGGACCAAAGCTTAATTAGCTTCTCAACAACACATTTGCACCTAATAAAAAGCCTCCAAGAGCAGCTGGAAGGCTTGTCAAGCATGCAGTGAGACTACTTCTGAAGCAAACCTACAAAAGACTAAAGAGAGAGAGGCCCATAGCATCAAGGCATGCATGCAGAACAGGAATAGTGCCTAGATGATCAGTGTGCTCCACCATTGTAGCTCATGGCCAGTATTGCAGCTTGCATGTGGTGTTGTTGTCCATGATCACTGTATACCGTTGGATATCGCTGTGATCATCTTTTCACCTGCCTAACTAATTTTGGGTCCTGATCAATTTTTCAGAAGATTTGCAAAGGAGCGAGAGCGAGCGAGCGAGAGAGAGAGAGAAAGAGAGGTCACACACACTGGCTTTCTTCGAGAATTTTCTTTAATGTACTCAATTTTTATAATGTTTGAGAAGGTTAATTAATTCATCCTTTAGTACCAATGAATAAGTTTAGCAAATTGTCAGGAATACTGACCACTACACTCAATCTTACTCTTTGTTCTGCAGCCACTCGACCCTGATCATCTCCATGGATTCCCTCAATCATAGGTTGTTATAAAAAAAGCCTTATATATGCAAACATATATAATATTTCTGTCATATAGATCATTAGTGGGTTAATTCTTTTGGGTGGCAGAGAATAAAGAGGATGATTTAGTTAATTCATCGATATGACCAATGTTATGATCACTGATCTTTATTCCCTAATATTGCGATTATGCATCTCCATGTGGAAAAACATAACAATCATACTAGCTACTATTCACCATCAATTTTGGTCCAGCCAAGAACATGCAAAGTCTAGCTAGCTATAAGGCCAGTGATGAACCACACCACTATGCCTAACACGATTGCATGCATGCCTGAATACACGCATGCAATTCAGTGAGACCAAAAAAAAGAAGATGATGTGAACTTGCAACTGACTATGCGATGGAAAGATGTAAAGAGATATCAAGATCACACCGGCATCTTTCACTCTATTTTGTTGTTTATCTCCATGTCCATGGACACTCCATGTGTGATGCAGAATATGCTACATCTTCGGATATATATCATGATGATACATAATTGGTTTCATCTGTCGTTTCTTCAGAGAAGAGAAAAGAAGAAGAAAGAAAAGGAAGAAAAATAGCTGTCTACTGCATGATTGTTTGATTGATCAAGTGAAGGCGACTCCGATTCTGAATTTCTCATCAAGTGTGCTTTTGCAAGTTGGCTACATGAAATGGATGGATGGATCGATCGATGATTGAGTTTGCAGGGAAGGTTCGGCAGTACAGATTGGTCAGAGTTGTTTCTGCAGAAATGGAAGACTTGTTCCGTTATGCGCCATGCACTGCAGATGTTTTGGTTTTTCTATGTCATTGCAGAATTGTTGAGCTGTCAGATGAGATATAAACTAAAACAGTGACGGAATAAGATACTGTACCAGCACTTGCGCATGAGAAAATAACAATATTAGCTTTTGATTGGACTTCCTCTGCATCACCTCCGCGAAAATTGGGCAGGGAATTTCAGAAGGAGAAAGAACAAGTTCTGGACAGAGTAAATGAAATTCTAGTTCGAAAGATATGGCTTTATAAATTCCTTTTTTTAATAATGAAACGAGTAGTAGCTAGCAAACATTTCTATGAAAATTGAAAAGTTATAGGTTGGAAGCTATAAGGTAGAGCCGATTTCATGCTCACGTCGTTTTCTCTCAT